TTTCCTAGCCCTTTAACTTCTGCTACTGGGAGGAGAACAAACTGAAAAAACAAAATGTGTTCTTCATCAGTGTTCAAGTCAGTGGCTTTGGTTATGCAGTTTAACTTAATAGCTTGGAGTTACCAAATATAGTAGGTTAGATGTTTAGATCATATCATCTATGGTAACATCAGGATAAATTGCAGATTTATTACAAGACATAAAGTCAACAAAATAAATATATAGTAACTTTAAATCAAGCAGAAAAGATGTCTCGTTCTTTTAGAACCTACCCTAGACTTCACCACTGCCTTCTTTCCAATCCAGACCATCATCATATTAATCATTCTATGATAATAACCTTGTAACTCATCTCCTTATATTTTAATCTCCCACTGTATATATTTTCCACAAACAACAAAGTAATTTTTCAAGTGCAAATATCTGGTCATATTACTACCACTTTAAAGGGTTCAAATGACTACTTTTTATTTTAAGTAGTCCAAACTCTAAAACGTCCTTGAAAGTCTTGATTTGAATAAGATGGCTTTAGTGTGTTTAAAACTAAAAGAAAAATAAAAGCTCAAAATATGCACATTGACACATCAGTAATGAAATACTGCTTCTCTGTGGATATGTATTGTCAATTTATATTCTGAAATTTTCTAAGTGTATATTTCATGAAGAAGTGAAGTGATGTCACTGAGTCATGTCCAACTCTTTGTGACCTCATGGACTGTAGCCTACTAGGAACCTCCATTCATGGGATTTTCCAGGCAAGAATACTGGGGTGGGTTGCCATTAAGATAAATTAATTTGTATTAAAATTTATAGTTAAATTTCACCTGATTCTTAAAAGACAATATAGAAAGTATCAGACATAGTATGTTTGTGATGAAACATCTGCAGTGTTATGTTTGCCTCTATGTGAACTATAAGCAGTCTGACAGGGAATAAGTTATTAAGACAGCAGATGACAGTGTTCAGGTAGAGATAAGTGGAGTTACAGATTACCATGTCTAATACATTTTCTAGGATATCTCTAATACGAAGACTTAATTTTTCTAAGAATCAAATTTGTAGATTCGCATGGCATAAAATCATGTGCCCAGTATGATAGCATATCAATATTCTAGACATCTAAATTACAGTTTAAGTTGCCCCAGTTATTCTTATAACTAAATCTTCCTCTATACAGAAACCATGAATTAATTAAACAATTATTTGTTAATACCCTGTTATGTGCCAGATATGTCCCTTGAGTTATAAGGATTCAAGGATTGAACAAAGCAGGCAAGAACTTGCTCCCACAGAGCTTAGATACAAATAAGGATATAGACAATAAATAGCATAAATTAATAAATAATTCTAACAGCTATAAATATGAGTAAATTGAAAAAATGATGTGATATGAAAAGCACTAGAGTAGGGGGCTATGTTACATTGATGGACATATAATAATTCTTCCTCGAGAAGGTGACATCTGAGCAGAAACAAAAATGACAGAAATAACCAGCAGTGCCCAAATCCACAGAATTCCCGACAGCAGCAAGAACAAGTAGAGAGGCTTAAAGGTTGAATAATGTTTAAAGGTAGAATAATGCTGGGTGTTCAAGAAGCAAAGAAGGTTAAAGGAGCACAAGTGAAATCAACTGAGGGAAGAGCGTTGGGGAGGACCAGATTATACAGGCGAGTGGTGAGGGATGTTGATTTTATTCTATAGGATATTTTTCTAAGAGGAAAGCTATATGATTTGACTTATGTTTGGAAGGATCAGTCTGGCTGTCATACAGAGAACTGACTATATATAGGAAGCCAAAATTGGAAGCCAAGAGAAATTTTAGAATTATAGTAGAGCCAGAGGGGGATGATTGTGATGTAGACTCCAAAGCATGTGGAAATATATAAATGGTAGAACATTTTACGTATGTAAATTATGCCTGAAGTATTTTAGGCATTTAATGTATATTTTTTGAATGAGAAAATGAATGAACAGCATGATGCATATAGACATGAAAATGGAGCAAGGCATTATATTCATAGCTACATATTTTAGGCACGAAAAAATGAAACAAAGGAAAGTACTGGGAGTCTTTTAAACTTAACAAAAAGTCTAACATTTTCATGTGTATTCAAATGCTTTCCCCATTACAAATATTTTGAAAATAATAAATGATAAAATTCTAAAATGGTGCATTCATAAAATATCTGATATTTCTTAATATTAATTCTACAGGTTTTGGAGGGGTTTTTTTTTTTGGTACAGTTCTGACCAAATTAAGAGATAAATAACAGAAATTCTGCATTAATAAAAACATTTTCCATTATTTAGCAATAAAAGGAAACTATTCTGAGTATATTTCACGTTTCTAAAAAATCATACTCTATGTATTCTGTACATGGGCTATTTACACCCTGACATCAGACTATAAACTTGGTGTGCTGCAGCTGGTCCATACTACCTGCCAAAAGGTGACTGTTACGTTTTAAGGAAATTTGTGAGTGGGTTGTTAAAAGTGCTGTTATTAAAATTGAAACTATGTAAACTTATTAGCTAATTGAAAAAATTAGAACAGAGATAGTAAATACTCAGCTTCATCACTTTGGTTGGTTTTAATCACTAAGTCATGTTCGACTCTTGCGACCCCATGGGCTGTAGCCTACCAGGCTCTTCTGTCGGAGGGATTGCCCAGGCAAGAAGACTGGAGTGGTTGCCATTTCCTTTCCCAGGGGATCTTTTCCACCCAGAGACTGAACCCACATCTCCTATATTGTAGGCAGATGCTTTACCATTGAGCCACTAGGGAAACTTGAGCTCCTCAGCACCTCCTTCCAACCTCACATTTAGGGACATCATGTAGCAAGCTTGAAATCATACATGATGAAAATATTTACATCATAAAAATTGGCAAACACTATACACCAGGGCTTCCTCCCACCTTCAGAGGGTCAGTTGTTCAACATTTACCAGAACATCACTAGTTACAACTCTACTGATGCTACTGTCACTGCTACAGCCTTTGTCACTGCTATAAACTTCTGTAGTTTAAATCCCAGAAACTACCTTTTGCTTCACATTAGGAACACATCAAGGGCAAAAATGAAGAGAACAACAGTATGCCACTGTCTGGCTTCTAGAGAGGGAAGGTCAGTTTTCAAAAGTCACTTACTCAGGTTTTTTTGCATTTTATCACACTCAAAATAATTTCCTTTTGTGAAACAGCCCTTTTAAGTGTAAAACTATTGAATCTGTGTGCTATCCAAGTTCAAAATTTAGAAAAACTTTCAAAAATACAAAGATGCCATGTTCTCCTATCAAAACAGTGATGACTTAAAAAGACTAATGTTGGAGTGGTGCAGTAGAAAATGCACTCATATACAATAATAATAGGAACATAAGTTGATACATATTTTAAAAGAAAATTTGAAATATAGAAGTAAAACTCTTTAACTCACTGTTTGAATTTAACCTTCAGGAAGATTATTTAAATTTAACCTGCAGAAAGATTTATAAAAATTTGGGAAAATAGTATTATTTATGATAGAAAAAACCTGAAATGGGTAGATAATTTTGCACATTTGTTTGAAAGAATAGTAGTAGTCACAGTGTAAGTTGCTCAATCACCTCTGACTCTTTGTGACCCCGTGGACCATAGCCCACAAGGGTCTTCTGTCCATGGGATTCTCCACGCAAGAATACTGGACTGGATTGCCATTCCCTTCTCTAGAAGATATTCCAGACCCAGGGATCGAACCTGCATTGAAGGCAGATTCTTTACCGTTTGAGTCACAGAGATTTTAAATAAAATTCATGAATTTTTCAATGTTCATGAAACATAATTGATAAAATTTGGATATGACAGGATATATTCAATAAAAGCCAACACATGAAATTACAAATGTCTACTTAAAGCAAATTCCACTGAACATTAGTTAAGCATTAGAGTGTTTGGAATGTGACTATTTATTTTATTTTCCTTTCATTTTTTGCAATTTCTAAATTTTTAAAAAACATAATAACAATGTCTAAACTAAAATTGTTTTTAATGTAAATAATTTAAATTCATATGAAAACCTAAAATTTCCGTTTGTATTCATATGCTTTTCTCATTGCAAATAATTTAAATAATTTGCAAATAAATCCAAACTTATTTTTTTAAAGTCTCGAATTGTACTATCTACCTATCTGACATTTCATGTTAATTCAACAGTTTCTTTGTATAGTTATGTTTGGACAAAAAATGCTGGCATTGTTTTAAAGGACTTTTTATTAGGCTAATATATAGCATATTCATCTATTTAACTATATATCATCAAATTTTCTTTTAAATCAATTACTCCATCTTTGATTTAGCATCTTCTAGAATTTCATAGTCTCATAAAATTCTCAAAATAACATTGATTTTAATCCAGTATAAACTAAACCATGTGTACAGAGTGACAGAGAAGCAACAAAATTTTAAAAATTAGTAGAGCTTTACAAATCCAAATAGAGGAAAAAGTCATTGCCTTACATATCTATTTCAAATTAACCAATGCTGTGAAAATAGAGTTTTCAGAAAAGGAATAGGTATACTGAGACAAATAGATATATTGGTAAAGGAAGGAGTTGTCATCTACTAACTTATTTTATTATTATGCTCATATGTGTAAGGGAAGGATAGAGTGGTTAGGAAAATATTAATAGTAGTCCAATGAATTTTCTTTTGATATTAGAGAAGTTTGGATATTATTATCTTTGGATAATATTATGTCTGAATATTATTTATTATTTTAATAAATACTATTGTGTTTTGATGTTCAGATAATAATCAGTAAGTATCTGGTATGTTGCCAATGTACTTTTGTGACACATAAGGGGACGAATATTAAGTTTCAGGGCATCTTTGACATTTCAAATCTACTTACAAATAATACTGATATTAGTGGGAATATCAGTCTCACATTTATACTTGGGAACCCATATGGGCCTAAAGACTTATGAGTACTTAATTAAAATGTGTCTTAAATGATTGGCTTACCTGAAATTTTGACTTGAGATACCACTCCATCTCCTCCATCACTGTGTGCACGAACCTCTACAACGTATTCTCCATCCCTGGGGATTGGGACTTCTATGGAGTGTTTATGAGTTGAATACAGCTTGCCATCATGCTGGCCATCAGGTCTATAGAGTACCTTTAAAAGTTTCAGAATATGACTATTTAATAAATGGGTAATAGTGAACCAATTCCCTAATACTAAAATTGAATAAAGATGCTTATACTTACAATAATTAAAAACATATTAGGGAGCTATGTGTAAACTAGCTGAAAAATCCATATTATTTTTAAATCACATAGATAGATTTTATTTATTTTAGGCTAATCCAGAGGACACATATTAAACATATGAATTTCATTTTTTGAAACTATCTAAAATAGAGATTAAAAATGTATTTTTTAATGAAAAAGGTATAAAATGAGGGTTCTTTCAATATATTGAAATAGTCTAAAAAATTACCTCACAATTAGAATTTTTCACACTATTCCTAAAATTTGGCATCCATTGAAAAATGTGATAGTGATATAAAGAATTTACAGAAATCATCTTTTTTATCCATTTTTGTTCAATTACGGAGGGTACCTCAAAGAATCACTATGTGCTTGGCAACTCTATCTTAATCATTGCCAAGCAAAAATAGATTCTTTCTCTCTTCCTTAAACACTAATTATTCTAACAATTCTATTCATTAAAGTAGTTATTCTAAAAATAAAAAAAAAAAAGTAGTTATTCTATCTTGTTCACTTGACATTGTATTTTCCTGGAATTCACTGAAGATTTTTCCCATTTCAAAATTTATCACAGCACTATGTCATCTGATTCCACTACACAACTAGAATAAAAGAGCTGGATGGGTTTTCACAAAACAATAATAAAAAACAAATACCAATCACTCTTTGTAAGAATGAAGCTTGTGCAGGGAACAATCTAGTAATCTTTTGTATACCTTATATCCCGTCACTGTAGATTCATTTGACAGGGCAACCACATGATCCCAGGTGATTATGTAGCGCGAACCAGACCTTATGGAACTGATGATCCTCGGAGGCTGGCTTGGAGCTGTGAAAGTAATAATACGCTATTGATGGCAACCACATGCAACTTCAGTTCTGCAAGCCGCATCACATCAGGGATTATAATACTGATAGTGATGTGGCAATAAAAATAGCTAATTTTGATGTCTGTACTATGTGTCTGGCCCTATGGTCTGCATCCATGGTTTCATTTAATCTACCTCGTGGCCCTGGGAGGTAAGGTAATATAATGATCTCATTCTCTTCTCATCAACCTTCAGTTGGTTGTCTCTTTTCCACCACTCTTTAGAAACTGCTTTTCTCAAGGTCATCAATCACCTCCGGTTGGCCAAATCTAATGCCACTTTTTTATTCTTTTCAAATTTAGCATCTTCACAGCATTTCACAGAATTGACCTAATTCTTTCTTGAACATCTTTTCTTAAATTCATAATCTCTTATAATCTTTCCTCCTGTCTCTCAGGTTGCTCCTTCTCATTAATCATCCTTTGCTAGCTTCATGTCCTCTGCCAAGTTTCCCAATGTTGGGATGACTTAGGACTTGATCCTGAGCACTCTTCTCTCCTATATGTATAAATCTCCCCAAACCTTACATCTGGGCCTATGGCTTAAAGTACATATGATTCTGTCTCAAGGTAATCTTTCAACTTGTACAGATAGGTGTCCAACTTCCTAATCCTCCTCAATGTCTAAAGGGTTTCCCAAATGCAATATAATCAAGACAGAACATTTACTAAGTACCCTTCAAATTTGCCTTTCTCTATTAAAATGGCACAACCAAACTCCCAATGTTTCAAGCCAAAATCTATTCGATCTTCTGTTTCATTCATTGCCAACATACAAATTAGCTGAAAACTGTCAACTCTGCCTGCAGAAAATTTTCTGCTTCTTTCTATCTCTTTCTATCTCTGGTCACCATCAGCTCTTCCTTGAATATTAAAAAAGGCCTCCTAACTGGCTATACAGCTTTCACTCTTATTCTACCATGTTCCTTGTTTACCCAGAAGGCAGAACAATTTTATATATATATGTGTGTGTGTATATATATATATATATGATATCACTCTCTGCCTTAAAATTGTCTAGTGACTTCTTATGACATTTAGAAAGAATTTAAACTTCTTACTCTGATCTATAAGACCCTGCTTCATATGACTCTCCCACAATTCAGAGCTGGAACTATATTCTTTTCTACACTTAAAACACACCAAGCTCCTCTCATGTAAAAGATTTGTACTGGTTATTTTCTCTGCTTGATAGAATCTCCTCAGTAAAGTCCTCCTTATTATTCATATCCTAGGTCAAATAGGATCTTCTCTAAAAGGACATTCCCAACTACCCGATTAGAATTTGGCTCATACCCAAGCCATTTAAAATGTTCATATTTGATTATTTCTTGGATTTTTATGTATTACTTATCTTTAATTGAATTGTAGTTGATTTACCACATTAGTTTCAGGTGTACAACAGTGATTCATATTTCTGATTATACCACTTTAAAAGTTATAAAATAACGGCTACGTAATTATATATCAATGCCATACAATATGTCCTTGTAGCTTATTTATTTTATATACAGAAGCTTGTATCTCTGAGTCCTGTAACCCTAGTCCCTTTTAGTTTCCATTTGCATGAAATATCTTTGCCATCTCCTCACATTCAGTATATGTGTGTCTTTAGCTCTAAAGTGAGTCTCTTGAAAGTATCAAATACATGGGACTTCTTTCCTACTTAATTTACCACTCTATGCCTTTTTTTTTCCCCACTCTATGTCTTTTGATTAGAACATTTCGTATATTGACATTTGAAGTGATTATTGATAGAAATATACTTAATGCCATTCTGTTACTTGTTTTCTGGTTGTTTTTATAGTTCTCTTTTCTTTTAGTTTCTTCCCTTGTGGTTTGATGATTTTCTTTATTTGCATGCTTGGGTTCCTTTCTCTCTAGATTTTCTGTGTGTATAATTGTGGGTTTTGATGTGTACTTACCGTGGAGTTCATATATGTTAACCTATAACTATATCTACCTGTCTTAAACTGATAGTCATTTAAGTTCAAACACATTGTAAGATATGTACTCTTTAAAACTCCATTGCAAGTTTTGTGCTTTGATGTCATATTTCACTCCTTCATGTTTAACCCTTAATAGTCTATTGTAGTTAATTTTACAGGTTTTTTTTTTTTAATCTTCATAGTTGCTTATTCAAGTGCTCGATCCACAGTCTTTACTATATATTTGACTTTACTAGTAGGATTTTTTTTTTCTTTTCTATCAATTCTTAGTTCTTGCTGTAGCCTTCTCTTTTCCACTTAGAAAAGATTCTTTAAAAATTTTTGTAAGATTGGTTTAGTGTTGATAATCTCAGTTTTTGCTTATTTTGTCTTTCGTTCAATTCTGAATGATAACCGTACTGAATAGAGTATCCTAGTTTGCAGGTTTTTCCCTTTTAGCACTTTAAACATATTAGGTCACTCCCATCTGGCCTGCAAAGTTTCTGGAGAAATGTCGGGTAATAGCATTATGGAGGTTCCCTTATATGTGATTTCTTTTATTTTACTCTTACTGAATTTAGAATTCTCTCTTTAAATTGTGCCATTTTCCTTATAATATGTCTTAGGTTTCTTTGGGTTCATCATGTTTGGAATCCTCTGTGCTTCCTGTATCTGGATATTTCTTTCCTTCTTCAAGTTTGGAAATTTTCAGCCATAATTTCATCAAATATATTTTGGTCCTGTTCTCTTTTCTTATTCTGGAACCCTCTATAATAAGAATGTTGCTATGCTTGATGTTGTCACAGAGGTCCCTTAAACTAGTCCCTTAAAATCTGTTTTTCTTTTGCTATTCTGATTGGGTTATTTCCATTATTCTGTCTTCCAGATCTTTTGTATCACATAGTTTGCTGTTAATTCCATCTAGTTTTCACTTCAGTCATTGCATTCTTCAGCTGTGACTTCTTTCTTTCTATATTTTCTAATTCTTGTTAAGATTTTCACTGTCTTCATCTATTCTTTTTCCATGTTCAGTTAGTATTCTTATTACTAATGACAAACTCTTTATCTGGTAAATTATTTACCTCTGTTTCATTAGTCATTTTTTATGGAGATTTTCCCTTGTTCTTTTGTTTTAAAGTAATTTCTCTGTATTCAGGTTTAAGTTTCTCAGACTCTTTGAAATTAGGTGAAACACTTCTTGTTGTTCAGTGGCTCAGTCATGTCTGATTATTTGTGACCCCACGAGTGCAGCATGCCAGGCTTCCCTGTCCTTCACTATCTCCAGGACTTTGCTCAAACTCATGTCTGTTGAGTTGGTGATACCATCCAACCATTCATCTTCTGTTGCCCCCTTCTCCTCTGGCCTCCAACCTTTCACAGCATCAGGGTTTTTTTTAAACGAGTCAGCTCTTTGAATCAGGTGGTCAAAGGATTGGAGCTTCCACTTTAGCATCAGTCCTTCCAATGAATATTCAGGCTTGATTTCTTTCAGTATTAACTGGTTTGATCTCTTTGCAGTCCAAAGGACTCTCAAGAGTGTTCTCCAGCACCACAGTTCAAAAGCATCAATTCTTTAGCACTCAGCCTTCTTTATGGTCCAACTCTCACATCATACTTGACTGCTGGAAAAACCATAGCTTTGACTAGATGGGCCTTTGTCAGCAAAGTGATTTCTCTGCTTTAACATGCTGTCTGTCATAGCTTTTCTTCCAAGGAGCAAGTGTCTTTTATTTTCATGGCTGCAGTCACGGTCCACAGTGATTTTAGAGCCAAGAAAATAAAGTCTGTCACGGTTTCCATTGTTTCCCCATCTATTTGCTGTGAAATGATCAGACTGGATACCATTATATCAATTTTTTGAATGTTGAGTTTTAAGTCAAATTTTTCACTCTCCTCTTTCACTTTCATCAAGAGGCTCTTTAGTTTCTCTTCGCTATCTGCCATAAGGGTGGTGGCATCTGCATATCTGAGGTTATTGATATTTCTTCTGGCAATCTTGATTACAGTTTGTGTTTCATCCAGTCCAGCACTTCTAATGATGTACTCTGCATAGAAGTTAAATAAGCAGGGTGACAATAAACAGCCTTGACCTACCCCTGTCCCAATTATGATCCAGCCCATTGTTCCATGTCTCGTTCTGTTGTTTTTTGACCTGCATACAGGTTTCTCAGGAGGCAGGTAAGGTGGTTTGCTATTCTCATCTCTTTCAGAATTTTAAAGTTTATTGTGATCTACACAGTTAAAGGCTTTAGTGTAGTCAAGGAAGAGGCAGATAATTTTTCTGGAATTCCCTTGCTTTTTCTATGATCCAACAGATGTTGACAATTTGATCTCTGGTCCCTCTACCTTTTCTAAATCCAACTTGTACATCTGGAAGTTCTCAGTTCATGTATTATTGAAGCCTAGCTTGAAGGATCTTGAGCATTACTTTGTTAGAACTTGAAATGAGCACAATTGTGAGGTAGTTTAAACATTCTTTGGCATTGCCTTCCTTTGGGATTGGGATGAAACCTGACCTTTTCCAGTCCTGTGGCCACTACTGAGTTTTCCAAATTTGCTGGCATAGTAAGTACAGCATTTTTAACAGTGTCATCATTTAGTATTTGAAATAGCTCAACTGGAATTCTATCCAGTTCTTGAAAGTGTGTTCCTATGTTGTGGTGGCTCTATCAGTCAGTGTATGCCCAGTGGCTTTGGTGGGAGAGCTGGATCTGTAATTAACACAGGTCACATATCTTCCTAGGGCATGCTGGTGGGATATGAGGCTGGAAATAGAGGGGCTCTATCCAAAGGGAGGTGAGAGCTGGAACTTTTCCTATGTTCAATGGCCATCACCATTCTATTGGGGGTAGTTTTGGGTCCCAAGGTGCTGGAACAGAAGCCTTGAGGGTCAAGTTTAAGCTGGTTTCATTTCCTTTAAAAGTGTTCTCCCTCTCCCCCCAGCAACGGCATCTTTGCCCCCAGGGCTAAGCAGAGCTAGAGCAAGGGTTCTAGAGTGTGCCCAGGGCAGGCCTGAGATGTGATAAGACAGTCCTGGCAAGACAGTCAGAGCTTGAGACAGCTCCCAATTCACAGCTTCAGTGAGCACAAGCAATGGTTTTCTTTGCTTCATTCAGATCCAGTGTTGGTTCTTTGCCAGTTCTATCCCCCTCATTTGCACAATCTCCTTGGCAATGTAGCTTTTGTTTTACTGGGGAATTGTTCTGAAGAAGGCATCTGGTACAGGCTGGGACATATGCTGGGGCTGTCCCAGGAAATCGCTCTAGCAGATTTTGCTCTTCATGAATGAGATCTTATTTTTCTACAGCCATCTTGTAAATCCCACCAGTATTGCAATCTGCTATTGGGACTCAGCTTCCTGGTGCTGGACTCCATGGTTGGAGAACCTTAGATGTGGCTCAAACCACTCTCCAGGGAGGATCTCTGAGTCTGTGATCTCCACTTCCACTTCTATGTCCCCTACTAGGGCTATGGTCCCAACCTGATTACTTCTCCCTTTCAACTTGACTCTATGTGGATTTTACTTAAGAGCCTTGATGGTAGAAGAGTATTTCCAATATCCCCCAGTTTGTTTTCAGTGAGAATTGCTCCACATGTAGGTGTATTTTTGATGTGTTCATTGAGGGAAGTGAGCCCAAGTCTACTCTGCCATCTTGGCCTCCTCCTCCCTTATTATCTGTTTATTTAATTTATTGCTCTGGCATCTGATGTTATCATATTTATTTCTCATTTTTCTCTCCTTCCTTCTCTCTCTCCCTCTCTTTACATTAGTTTGTTAAATCCTGTGAGAAGAGGATCTGGGTCTGGCTTGATCTTTTCTCTACCCTCAATACCTAGAGCTGTCGAGGGCACATAGCATACTTTTGATAAATTAATAAATTGAAAAAAATAACAAAGGAATGAATACTCTTTTTATAAGTTGCAAAGCTGATGTATAAATATTGAGGTAATATGTCTACCAATACACAATTGAGTAAGTGATAGAGACAAATTTGAAACCCTTCTCTGATACCAAAGTCTGGATCCTACCTCCATGCTCTGTTATACCATTAGGACTATCTTTTCACCCAAATAAGTTTCCAAATTCTAATGGTAATAATGTCTTCAAATTCTTGTGAAACTTCCCAGGATTCTGAATATAAATTCTCTTCTTCTATTTGTTCAACTTAATTTCAAGAAGGAGCTATCATAGTGAAGCCAGGGAGATGAGGATGACCAGAAAATGTGAGCAGGGCAGGTGGTCTTATTATATTAACAATGAGAACATACAGTAATAAGAGAGTGAAGATAACACTTCAACATTTAACCTGCATTTACATTGTACAATGATGACATAAATCAAAGCATAGAAAAATTACATAATTTTCATTTTCTTATGCTATTAATGCATTCTTATAATACCAAGTTTAAAATAATAAACTATCTAATGATGCAAGATTTTGTGGATAGTCTTTAGAAAAGGAGGTTCTGCAATTTTATTTCTGAAATGGATATTAATTATGTGAAAGTATTTGCCACATTTTTTCATCTATAATAACTAACAATGTTTTTGTTTTGTTGTTGTTGTTGTATTTTAAAATGTGTGTGATTTTAAAGGCTAAAATTGAAAACCAAATGTGCTCAGATGGCTAGGTAGTAAATTTCTCTCTCCTGTACCTGTATCATTCAATCAATTGGGGATTTTGGCAAGTATATAATGCAAATATTGAGACTCACGTGCTTTCTTGGTGAAGGTCTCAATCATATCACTGGGAGGTCCACACCCTGCACTGTTGCAGGCCCTGACTTCCACAAAATACTGGGTGTCAGGCAGAAGGTTCTCCAGCCTGGCCGAGTATTCTTGGCTAGCAACTTGAACTCTGTGGGCAGCTGCCTCTTTGTCATGGGAAGCCCAGTACCGAATCTGCAAACGTGCAAGTTGAGTAAAGTTTTTTCATGATTCAGACACTTCAGTTGTAAAAAATTCTTTTCAACTTGTTATGACACCATTGATGATGGCTGGGCATCAGATTCTCAAATGTTACCTACTGTTCCATTTCTATCAGTCTTAGACTATGGCAAAGCATACAATGCAGATCTGATTAAAGATGTCAAAAGCAAATTAAAGCCCCACTTCACGGCCTGAAAGAGCCATACACAGATGAAAACAGAGAAAAAGCCAAAAAACTTTGCATAAGGTTTGCTCTCAAAACATAAAACTGGTCTCTGTTTAGAAGCATTTGACACAATAATTTATATCATTGGTTTTCTGCTTTATTTCTATTTATATGATTGCAAATTTGTTAAGGGTCACTGATAAAAACAACCATGTGGTCTAAAACAGGCTAGCATAATTATTTTCTGCTAGCTTATTTCAGAAGTATTTAGTAAAAGTTTCTTCTGTGAACCTATATAGAGACCAGATATCAAAGAAATATTATACCTAATAACTGGTTGCAGAAATTATTTATCTTTAAAGTGTTTTAAAAACTTTCATTCATGTTGTGATTAAAAGTGATTACTTTTACCATCTAGCATATCAATGACAGCCCTTCATAGTCTCTTAAATTTTAAGTTAAAGCTATGAATTATAATTTTCATTCTGCAAATAAATTTTTGGTTAAAAATCTATAATTACATCTAAGTTATAAATAAAAATAAAAGCTTGCTTATAAGTTTACCTCTATTTTATATTTTAAATGTCTTGTCTATAAAACAATGAGATTTTAATTTCACAATTAACCAGAATACTATGACAATATTTAATATTGATATAATTCTGAAATTTTTTACATAAACACATATGAAGCCATTATAAGATGAAACTGGACAGCTCAAATTTCCATAGTAACAAAATGGGGTTTCTATGTAGAATGAGCACATTTTTTAAAAAAAGACTAGTTACTAATTTCTGATTGGTTTCCTTTGATATATTTTTATCTTGTTGACTAGTGCTCGTTTTTTCTGATGCCAATACATTTTTTCCGAAGAGTTTTGATAGAATCTCTTTGGCTTTCTGCTCTCTGACCAGGATATCCCACAACTGAGGAAGCAGAATTATACCAAGTGATTCCAAAGTCAGATGGCAGAGAAAGGATTTATGAGGGTAGGAGTATCCTTGTGAAGGCATGAGTTTCCTCATGCTGGGGGCATCTAGGCAGTGCCTACATTCATCTGAGAAGGAGGAAGACAGCCGACATTTTAGTGGGCATTTGAACTGTGTGACATGTAAGGCCTCTTCCACTGCTTGGCTGAAGATAAATAAAATGCGCATTTATATTCCAGTGAAATGCTAGGTACTAAAGTAGGATCATGCACGTGTATTATTTTCTCAACAAGTCTGGAATGGTAGCATTTACCTTGTTTAATGCTACAGTCCATGGGGTCACAAAGAGTCGGACACGACTTTGTGATTGAAGAACAACACCTTGTTATATAGCAATCAAAACTGAAGCTCCTGAGCTTCAGGTACTTTTATATGGATGTCTGTCAACTGAGACCACCTTTTACAACCTTCATTCCAATATCACAACTTTTATACACAGTTTAAAGAGGAGAAACTTTTTTTAAGGCATTGTAGAATTATATTGTTGTGCCAACCTCCTCTGATGTACATCAAAGTGACTCAGTTGCATACATATATATATATATATTATTTTTTAATATTTTTTCCACATTCTGTGATAAACCATAAAGGAAAAGAGAAGACTTTTTTAAATAGATATTTCTAAGATACTAAGCATTAAAATGAGGACTTAACAGTGACAAATTTTTTGACATTTTACCTAAAATTCCACGAGGCATTTTGGCAATAGAGAAGGAAAGAACAAAATTTTCTTTAATTTACTCTTTGCATCTATATCCTAAGTGTCTAATCCTATATTCATCTGATTTTGACACAGATCTATGTTACACAGTCTCCACTGAAATTTCCAAAAAACTTAAGCATTGCTTTAGTTATGCCGTGGTAACTAGTGAACCCAGAGAGTTATTGAGTGTGCAAAATAACCTCTGAGTTCCTTATTTTATAATATGAGATTTGAATGACACTTTTACAGTATTTTAAGCATCTACTAATGAAAGCATCTGATACAAAATTATTTTGGTTGAATAACATGTCTCCTTAACTCAAATCATGCATTTACATATAAATTGCAATATTTTCAAACAATTCTAAATTAAACAGTCTATATAAAATATGGCATTGTATTTTTTTTTATCTGAACTAGCCATTGGCCATGCACTTAGAGGTAATTTCCAAATAGACAATTTGGGCGACTGCATTTTGATCCTTGCAGTGAGTTGCCCACTGAGGTGAAGAACCAACTTTAACCTGAGAGAAAATTGCTTGGAATGAAGTGAACCCACAGTAGTGGAGCAGAACAAATGCATGGCTTTTGACTAATCACTAGGGAGACTGAAAGACAGCCTGAATGAACAAGTGTAAAAATAAATAAACAAATGAAGCAGTTTTTGTTTTAAGGATAGTAGATGATAAATTCATTTTCACATGCTAGAGCAACATATGATGTATTTATTTCTATTGCATGCTATGGTATTATATCAATTTAACTCTTTATTTACATGTTCCTAAAATCTGCATAACACTATGTCTAGTGTTCACTTATCTTAGTGCTTATTAAACAATTATGGAATTACATCATTACTGGTCTCCACTATTACTAGATTATAAATTGCTTGAGGACGAATATTAATTATTTTGAACACAATGCACAGAGGACTGCATTTGATGGATGGCACTCATTCATTCATTGAATAAATATCTATTGTGTATATACATTGTATCAGCTACTGTGCTAGGTTCTGGGAACACAGTAGTGAATCAAGCAAACATGTTTTCGCCTTCATAGATCTTTAGAGAAAGAAATCAAAATGTTTAAGTCTACATAGATTACTAATATCTTTGATGGAACAATCTAAGTGTATAATTTTACCCCAAGAAAATTCCCTCTTTGTAACAATATTGGAAAGCGGAAAAGAAAAGCCTCAGAGAAAGGACTAACTCATATGTTTAATAAAGAATAATTATACTTTCTACACATTTATGAGCTACAACAACACCACTTTTGAACAAAGATAGTAGTTATATTCCTTCCAAGGGAAATGTAATACAACAAAAAGTTCAACCTCTAAAAAGATGTTATATAATACCTTGATATCATCCAGATCACAGACTATCACGCATTAGTACATTCTGTGAGTTAAGAAGAGCAGTAATATAAAACTTTCAAAAACCTGTATTATTACACCTCTTAGAAACTATTCAAAGTTCATTTTTATTCTAGCCATTGGTGCAGGAACTAAACAGTTCTATGCAGGCTTCAGCCAGCTTCCCATAAGTACTACCTGCATTTTTCCTCTGCTAAACTCTCACTTCCTGTCTTGGATCATTCTTGATGCTGCAGTGTGAACTTTGCCCTGCAGTTCAGGCAGGGAGGGGAGGTGGGGCCCCTGTGGCCATTCTTAACCTGTGGGCAATTACAGTGGTTGAAAGCATCCCCTTTCATCCCATGTGGGTCAGTTCTGAACCACATTTATGATGTTCCTCAAAGATCCCAAGGGATGGAGTATAAGTTGCCCAAGGAGGTTGCCGACATAATAAAGCATTTTTCTAACCAAGCTTCTCCCTCTCCTGTTCATTCTGCTTTTACCTCTTATTTACTCCCTGAGATATTTAAAACAAATAAATAAGCAACAATAACAACAGCAAAATCACTAACTTTTGCTACACCTGTGTCTGACTTTCCTTTTAGGAGATCAGAGGAAGATACATGCCTTCCCCAAATAAGAAAATACCATACTTCCTAACATGAGCTTCTGTTCTCCACAATAATTTGACATTTTAAGACATCTGAGTGAACTACTCAGGATTGATAATCTTTTAAGAATAATCAATCATCTTCATTAATCTCTGATTCAGCTGCTAAGAGGCTTTCTGTTAATCCCGATAGCACATTGTGTTTGTTTTCATTAAGGGAATTCTTTACCTGCTGGGTAAGTAAACTAAGTCTTTTGTGGATTCCTGGGCAGGAGCCCAAAGTTCTAATATGCCTTTGATAAGAAACACTTCTTGAATTCTTCTAGTTCACCTACACTGCAGGAAATTAAGATCAAGGTTAGGAGTGGTGAGCTCTTTAACTAGCCAAGATGGGGCAGATGGAGCCGGGGGAGGAAAATAAAACTTGAACTTTCTATAAGATAAACTTAAAACCACAAGGGTTTATTTTTAAATCCAACTGCCTACAATTCTCACTTAAATCTCAGGAAATTAACCTTGAGATGGGGGTCAATCACACAGCTTTTTATTTATCTTATTTTATTAACTTGCTTTGTTTCTGTTTCTTTATAATTTAGACCCATAGTACATTTTCATGGGAAGTGCAGTGGAGTATTAGCTTTCATGATCATCTGTCTTGTTAAATCATTGACTTTTCCTTCATATTTTAAAACAGAAACAATAACCATATTATAGCGAGCCAAGCTTTTCCCCCATAAAGAACATTTTCTTAGAGGAGAATAAATGTTATGGATTGTCTCTTTTAAACTGTCATGCTTGACTCTTTGATATTCAAGGCTCTGTGTGAAAAACTTAAAGGCTTTTTAAGAAGGAACAAATGGCAATAATAATTTTGTGATTTACTTCCAACACTGTTAACCATTCTCTGGAGAGGAAAGACCTAAGTTCAAGTCAGGATATATCAATTATTACTCAGATAAATGTTTTTAAACCTCCAAGTTCTTCATCTTTAAAATGGAAAAAAATAATAGTATTTACCCCCTGTGATTGTGCGGATTCAATACAATGAGCTTAATTAAATGTTTAATATAATAAGGATTAACAAATATTACCAATTATCATTATTAACATCATCATTGTCTTCTTCAAATGTCCAATGACATAAAACAGGAATGACATTAAGTGCAGGTTATTTAATTTCTTCCACAGGATGGAAGGACATGAGGCAGTGATTACGCTTAGCTTTGTAGGTGAGGAAATTAGGGCTCAGACAATTTGAATAAATTTTCCACAAAATTCCTAAGTGACAGAGCTGAGAGATTAAACCAGTGTCTGCTCAGCAACAAAGCTCATAATTTTCTAGTATGGAGTTGCTAAACACCAGAAATCTATGAAACTAAACTTGCTAGCGTACAGTTTTTTATCATTTGAGGAAATCATAGCTGTTAGAGATTATTTGAAGATTAGTTTTTGCTGACTATTTAATTTGGCAATCCTTAATTTAGCTAATTTCCCCATCAAGAGCATATATTCTGATTATTGTCTGAATTCACTGGTGCCAGGGTATCATTTCTTATCTTGTATGGCCTTTGTCATCTGCATGTCAGAAGTTATAAAATAGTTAATATATAATTATTTGACAAAGACAAGATATATTTCAGTGGCATGTTTTTAACAAAGCAAAATATATCTTCAGCATTTTGACAATGCATGGGATATATATTAATCTTTTTTCTCTTATTACTTAGAAAGCAATAATATTAAAAAAAAGAAAATCTATGTCTAAAATATGGCTTGAAAATTCTAAATATTGATGTGTTCTCTCAAGATAACTTGGACTAGTTTATTGTAACATTTAGTGAATTTCTCTGTTTCCCATTTCTTTTATACAAGCTGTAAATGGAAGTTTAATATGTTATGAATATTGGATCTTCACAGTCCACTTCTATAACTCCACAGTCTTGATGATAACTTCAGCTAAATGTTTGCAAGAATAATTTGAAAACATTTTGACATCTACCTACCCCAATCATAACCTATGATACCAAGAAAAATCTTCCTATTAGGTTGTGTGTTTGCACCTTAAAACTTTAGGCTGCTCCTGTGGTTACATGGTCTTGAGAAAGTTAGATTGCAGCATTTTATTTGACCATACTTCAGTATTTCTATCAGCACTCAGTGAATATTTCATCAATGATGCCCTCTATTCTTGACAGTGAGAGCAAAAGAGACAAAATGCTACCCTCATGAATGAATATTCCACGGATGTATGATGAAGCGCAAGAACTGAGGGCAAGCTGACTGGGTGGGCAGCTCACCAGCCACGGCTCAGAAGGTCAGTTACTGTCCACTCACTGAATAAAATAAAGGGAGTTTGTGATTTGGCATAAAGCATAGACTTGGAATCAGGACATCTGAATTTTAGGCAGTCTCTGACATTTTTACTTGGTGCTAACTAAGACAAGTCATTGAAACGCTTTGGCATCCATTTGCTCATTGGCAAAAGTAGGATGATGTCAGTTCCTCTTAATTTTCAGTCTTTGTGCTATGAGATGACTTCAATATTCCTACACAATTGAGTCTAAATTTCATAATAAATATCCCAACCAAACTATTTTTAATTTCCCAGGTCTTATTTCCTTTGAATAAAACAAGACCTCCCCTTTCCTGCTGGCTAATTCCTACTACTCTTTTAAGACTTATTTCAAAGGAAGTTACCTTTGAGATATTTTGAGTTTGCCAATTTTCTGCCTTCATATATAATATAATGGGATACATATTTAGTATATTTCCTTAGGAGGGTCTTTTGGAAGTGGAACTACTGAGTCAAATATGACAAACATTTTAAATTACCAAAATGATTTCCCAAAAACTTGAGATTCACCAGATGTTATGAGAAAATCTGTTTCAAAAGATTGTGTTTAAGCCTGAGTGTTATTACTTTAGTTTTTATTTTGGTCAATTGTTTACTTACACATAAGACTGTACATCTCTCATAGATAAGTTAGTTGGAAATCTCCACCTTACTCATAATAATTAATTAATAAATATCCAACATATTGAACACAATAAATATAGTGTTAGTTGTCACATAAATCAGAAGGACACAGAACATTGAAAGATGCAACATATTTGATAACATATGCTGATAATTATGAGTAGATGTATTTCAGTTTGATAAAAATTAAACTCACCTGATAGCTTTCTACTATTTTTTCTACAACATGCTCCCAATGAACAGATATCTCAGAAGATGATAAGACTTTTACTCCTACTGCTGTTGGGGCTTCACTGGGAGCTGAAATTTGATGAGAACATTGCATTCTTACATAAGATGCTTATATTAAGAAACTCAAATAGCACCATTTGCTGTATGAATGGATGAAACCATATTTTAGTATTTAAAATAGTTTTAATAGTTCTAAAATAAATAGTTCAATAATTTTATTACTTCTTCCTCTATTTTTATTTGTCATGGTCATCAGTAATATACACACACACATATTCATATATATGAATGTTAATATAGAGACACATATACATACATATGTACACACATTTACAAAATATGGAAATCCATAAGAATTTCTCTGATATCCTTGAGCAAGAACCATACTAATATTTTATATTTCTTTTAATAACTTGTTTTTGAAAGCTTGTGAATGCAAATCAAAATTTATTATTAATATGTTCAACTTATCAACTCTCTATATAATATTAAAAATAGGAAATTAGGTATTTCTTACAGAAAATTATTCATTAACAATTAATTTTCAACTTTTTCATGCTATTTGTATGCACTAAAGATACACAGCAATACTTTCCTCTTTTTCTTTTATGTTTAAGCTAAGTTTTTTTTTTTTAAGATCCTTTGAAACAAGTTGTGACATTCATTGCTTCTTGGGCTCAGAAAAGCTTTTATAAGTCTAATCTTCCAACTGGGCATCAAGTCAAATATGTATCAAAAAGGCCTCTGTTCAGTGAAAAAAAAAGTACTCTATATCCCTTACCAAAATTACACAAAGAAACTAAGGAAATCTTAAGCAGGAATGATCAGGAGTGATCAATTTTTATTGTCTTTTATTAACAAGCCATAATACTCTTTTATGCTAAAGTGTCCTGCATATGAACACAGTTGTCTTTCCAAAACAAGGTAAATGTGCGGTGCTATGATTGATTTCTTAACAGTAAAAGAGAAAATGAACATTTATACAAGTTTCGGCACATGCAGGTTTTATGAGGCTTATGAAACATTTAGGAAAGAAATGTAATTAAATACAGATGGCCATAACTAAAGACATGACAAGCATGGCCTTTACCTGATTACTTAAGCATCAAATAAAACATTAAAAATGATACTGAGTGAGAATATAACTTGTAAAATGTTTCATATTTTCATTTTCTCTATGAGTTGTACATATGTCATTCAAACTAACACTGAGTCAAGTTATAATATTTCTCCAAATTAGAGTGAGTTTTGAAAATGTAAAATTTATTACTGAGGATTAAAAAGTCCAGAATTGATTATAAATTTAGAAATTTCTACTTGTTTTTCTATGTGTTTTGTCTTTCAAAAAGAGTGTGTGTACATAGATAAATATATAAGATAGTTGTTCATGTTAGTATTGGAAGTAAAGATCATGGAATGATTTGAATATATACATTTTTAACAAATATGAAAGCTATGACTAAAGAGTATAAACTTTAAGGGATAGGTAAATGTTTCTTGTGGGCCAAACATAATGTAAATTGGGTAAACTAACAAATAGTGCTTTTCCTCTAAGAAATCAGAAGAATATTTCACATAGCTTTAAGTTTTAAAACCCTCCATTGTTGCCTGTCACACGTGTGCAAAGTGAAACTTATCCAAGCACCAATGTGTTAGGTCAGAAAGCAATGAAAATTTCTATTTTCTCTTTCTGTTATTAATTATTTACCTAGTGCACATGAGTACAAAGGTATAATAAGGAAGTATTATCTTTTCAAATAGGAAAATAAATAATACAAATGTAGTAACTTAAATAGGAAATCATAGAAGTTAGTGTAATTACATTTAAAATTATGTATCATTTATCATAGATATATAAAGTTCTTCAGGAACATGATCAGTTCAATTAAAGTTTATAGAAAAACAGAGAACCAGTATCAGTAATTTTATCCCTTTCATATATATTTTAATTTCCAAGAAAAAATTTCAATTGGCCTTCTGACCCCCTTTTCATAGAATTACGCCTAAATTCCCTTTAATAAAATTCCAGGATGCTACTGTTGATAAAGAATCTGCCTGCAATGCTGGAGACCCTGGTTCAGTCCCTGGGTGGGAAGATCCCCTGAAGAAGGGAATGGCAACCCACTCCAGGATTCTTGCCCAGAGAATTCCATGGACAGAGGAGTCTGGTGGGCTACAGTCCACAGAGTTGCAAAGAGTTGGACACAACTAAGCAACTAACACTAACACTAATGAACATGCTAATGTAATGACAAAAAAGTTACATAAATGCTACATTACACATTTTTTAGTTAAATGGAGAAATTTTATCAAAAAAGTATATTAATTAAATATTATTAGTATATATTAAAGAGTTGGTAAAATAGTGAATTTTATGAATGAACAGGCACACTGAGGTTCTCAAATCTAGAGAATTTCTGACTGCAAAATTATAATTAAGAGATCAGGAATAGGGTCTAAGTCAATGATTTTAGTGGTGATTTACTAACTATCATAAACACAATATAAAGGATGAAAAAGATTTTGGCAACATTCTTGTCATTTAGATAAAGAGATTGACATGCTGACTTGGCTCAAAATAATACTGAAAAGACTGCAAACAAAATGCCTACTAGAGAACCAGATTTTTAATCCCTCATCGTGTCAATGAGGCCTTTCTTTCACCTACCATCTTGTGCGGAATGGATGACAGCTGTGAGACTGTAGGGTCCATCTCCTTTGTTGTTGAAAGCTTTGACTTTGACTTGAAATGCAGTGGAAGGGCGCATGGTCTCATCTTTATGGACATAGCGGCCAGTATCTGGATTAGTAACTGTCACTTTTTTCCATTCTTCCCCATCAAATGGCTTAAATGCCACTATGTAACCAAAATTGTTGCCATAGTGGTATTCTCTTGACAAAGGCTAAATAGAAATTGAAATGTTAAATAAGTTCAAGCAATACAGGTAACAGAGAGAAAATCATATGCAAACAAAAATGCTACACATGGAAGCATGCTTTCTGTAAAAACATTTTTATTTCCTAAGTGAGAGTTGCCTACAAAAATCCAGCACAAACAAGCTGCAACACGTGAGACTTCGCTTACCAAGTTGACTATTTCTGAAACACCCTGGGGGAGGGGTACCTCTCACTCAGTCTTTTTACTTTCAGTTTCTTCCTTCAAGGGTGCTTTCCCTGACTCAAAAGGCCCTTCCCTCACTTTCTTAAACTAAAAAGATTGGAAAGAAGAAGTAAAACTCTCACTGTTTGCAGATGACATGATCCTCTACATAGAAAACCCTAAAGACTCCACCAGAAAATTACTAGAGTTAATCAATGAATATAGTAAAGTTGCAGGATATAAAATTAACACACAGAAATCCCTTGCATTCCTATACACTAACAATGAGAAAACAGAGAAATTACGAAAACAATTCCATTCACTATTGCAATGAAAAGAATAAAATGCTTAGGACTAAATCTACCTAAAGAAAAAAAAGACCTATATATAGAAAACTATAAAACACTGATGAAAGAAATCAGAGGACACAAATAGATGGAGAAATATACCATGTTCATGGATTGGAAGAATCAATATAGTGAAAATGAGTATACTACCCAAAGTAATCTATAGATTCAATGCAATCCCTATCAAGCTACCAATGGTATTTTTCATAGAACTAGAACAAATAATTTCACAATTTGTGTGGAAATACAAAAAAAAAAAAAAAAAAACCTCGAATAGCCAAAGCAGTCTTGAGAAAGAAGAATGGAACTGAAGGAATCAACCTGCCTGACATCAGGTTCTACTACAAAGCTACAGTCATCAAGACAGTATGGTACTGGCACAAAGACAGAAATATAGATCAATGGAACAAAATAGAAAGCCCAGAGATAAATCCACGAACCTATGGACAATTTATCTTTGAAAAAGGAGACAAGAATATACAATGGAGAAAAGACAATCTCTTTGACAAGTGGTGCTGGGAAAACTGGTCAACCACTTGCAAAAGAACAAAACTAGAACACTTTCTAACACCATACACAAAAGTAAACTCAAAATGGATTAAAGATCTAAACGTAAGACCAGAAACTATAAAACTCCTAGAGGAAAACATAGGCAAAACACTCTCTGAATAAAACACAGCAGGATCCTCTATGACCCACCTCTCAGAGTATTGAAAATAAAAGCAAAAATAAACAAATGGGACCTACTTAAACTTAAAAACTTTTGCACAACAAAGGAAACTATAAGCAAGGTGAAAAGACAGCCTTCAGAATTGGAGAAAATAATAGCAAATAAAGCAACAGACAAAGAATTAATCTCAAAAATATACAAGCAACTCCTGCAGCTCAATTCCAGAAAAATAAACGACCCAATCAAAAAAATGGACCAAAGAACTAAACAGACATTTCTCTAAAGAAGACATACAGATGACTAACAAACACATGAAAAGATGCTCAACAGCACTCATTATCAGAGAAATGCAAATCAAAACCACAATGAGGTACCATTTCATGCCAGTCAGAATGACTGCTATCCAAAAGTCTAAAAACTTAAAAGCCTTAAAAAACTGGAAATAGAACTGCCATATGACCCAGCAATCCCACTTCTGGGCATACACACCAAGGAAACCAGAATTGAGAGAGACACGTGCACCCCAATGTTCATCGCAGCACTGTTTATAATAGCCAGGACATGGAAGCAACTGAGATGCCCATCAGCAGATGAATGGATAAGAAAGCTGTGGTACATATACACAATGGAATATTACTCAGCCATTAAAAAGAATACATTTGAATTGGTTCTAATGAGGTGGATGAAACTGGAGCCCATTATACAGAGTGAAGTAAGCCAGTAAGAAAAACACCAATACAGTATACTAATGCATATATATGGAATTTAGAAAGGTGGTAATGATAACCCCACATGCGAGACAGCAAAAGAGACACAGATGTATAGAACAGTCTTTTGGACTCTGTGGGAGAGGGTGAGGGTGGGATGATTTGAGAGAATGGCATTGAAATATGTATATTATCATATGTGAAAAGGATTGCCAGTCCAGGTTTGATACATGAGACAGGGTTTTCAGGGCTGGTGCACTGGGATGACCCAGAGGGATGGGATGGGGAGGGTGTGAGAAAGAGGTTCAGGACAGGGAACACATGTACACCCGTGACAGATCGATGTCAATGTATGGCAAAAACACTACAATATTGTAAAGTAATTAGCCTCCAATTAAATAAATTTATACTTAAAATAAATAAATAAATAAATAAATAACTACTTGGTGTTTTCCCTGGCCACAGGATCTGCCATTTTAAGACTCTTTGTGCAGTAATCTATACAAAACATCACCAGTTATTTTTCCTTCTTTAACACTATTATGACCTACACTATATATTTACTTATTGTCTACTTTATTGTCTTTCTTGCCTAGTAGAACATAAGTTTCATGAGAACAGGCTTATTGACAGTTTCATTTACCTCTTTATCCCTGAAACCTAAACAAAGTCTCAAGTAGTATTTATTCAATGGATAAGTTAATGAATTTCTTTAGAGTTGAAAGACTATAGTAAGAAAGTTAACTATACACTGGAATTTCTATACTGCAACTGAACAGTAGACTCTGATCACAGAAAAAGAAAGAAGAAAGGATGGAGTCACCTCCATCTTCAGGTGACTGGCTAGGCACCCTGTCTAACTCTAACACTGAAGAAAGACCTCTGTTTTACATTTTCTTAGAGTTATTATTACATGTCAATTACTCAGTAAAGATGTCCATGTCAGCCCTAAATTCTGACTTAAAACAAATTCTACTGAGTATTCATCATTTAGTCTTTTTTTAGCCATTATATACTTGCTTTTTACACAGGAATATCACAGTTAAAGTATCTTGAGGGAAAACCTTTAACTAATTACAACATAGTAGCTTGAATATCTTTATGTTAAACAAGGATGCATGTAAATGTACGAAGTTCAAAGGAAGAATAAGTTGTTCTTGGTTGCACAATATAGAATTGTAAAGCATGATCGCAAGGAGGCACATAATGTAATTTTACATTATTAACAGAATAGCCTAACATTCTCACCAGAGTTAAAACATTTCTTTTCCTTATTGATAGTTCTATACTTAATTTTTGCAATTTAGTATATCAGAATTGGGCTTCCCTGGTGGCTCAGATGGTAAAGAATCTGCCTGCAACATGGGAGACCCAGGTTCAATCCCTGGGTTGGGAAGATCCTCTGGAGAAGTGAATGGCAACCTATTCCAGTATTCTTGCCTGGAGAATTCCATGGATAGAGGAGCGTGGCAGGCTACAGTTCATGGTATTGCAAAGAGTCAGACATGACTGAGCAGCTAACATATCAGAATTAGCTATGAAGCTTTCAAAATGTTGTGACTCTCTAGTCCTGTTCTCAGAGACTTGATTTCAAATTTATGGAAAATGAGTTCCAATCTAAATGTTTTAACAAGCTTCTCATCTCATTGTGAGGCAGGTATCTGCAAATGTTGAGAAAATAAAACCTAAAGAAGTAAAATGTTCAAATTTTCTAATATCTTCATTTTTTGTGTTTCACACTGTCACTAAAACTGCCAAATCATTTGAGATTCAAATGAAGAAGAGGCAATTTTTGCCTAAATCCTATTTTAATATATGATGTAATGCCAACTATAAAATATGACTACACAATACAGAGTGAAGTCAACTTTGGCTAAATATCCACTTATTGTATAAATTAATTTGACTCACTTAAAAATAAAACCTGTTCATTATTTCTGTAGTTTTCAGAATTGTTTGGAGTCTTACTTGTGTTCTTTGACCATCAGCAGAGATTAAATACTACAAGTATTTGATGGATACATAGAGCTATATAAAGCATGTTATCTACATGAACGCCAGATGTCTAATTCAGACACATTTATGTTATCAAAGTTTTCCTCACCCCCAATATCTCTGTCACTTCAAAAATCCAGCTAAGATGCTTTATTTTCCAAACATTATAATCTCTGATATAAAGCTCCCTTGGGTCATAAAATTTTAATAAAATGTTTTGGATATCTTAATAACAAGTCATTTGTGGGGACTTCTAAGACTGACCTATAATGATAAATTACACGTGCTGATCAAAGTAAGTTTCAAGTCAGAGAGCAAGGGCCAATTTAAAAATAGATGCTGATACAAAAGATTTTTTAACTTAATCTTTGAAATTTTGAAAGTCCAGAGCAAAAATTATGAATTGCAATTGGGTTACCAGGCCACAGTGAGTACAGAGTACCTTCATCTCTGGAATAAAGAATTGAATGTTTATTTAATCTTTTAGGCCTAGGCCTATAGATACTATAGTATCAATAATTTATTTTTGCATAGGAATGGCATACTATGCTGTAGTAAATTAGGCAAAATCTGGCATGCATTAGAGAAAAAAATCAATTTTAGTAACTTATTTGTTTTTGAGGCATTGTCTTTTATTTTATTTCAGGAAACAAAATGAGTTTGAGATTAAGTGTAGGTAAAGCAACAGATAACATGTGCAACTTCTTAACACTTACCGCCCATGTTATGGTCAGTTCTCTGTTGCTTCCACCTCCACCTCCTACATCTGAAGGAGCCACATTAGGTGCTGAAACAAACAAAACCACAAACGAGAGGACATGTAATTTTTTTCTGATGTTAGATTTCTTATTCACTTAGAAACCATACACATTTTTTTTCTTTTACTAGAAAAGACAAGCTGCACATGAATACTCAATTATAATAACAATGTCCCAGAGTTTCTGTAATAATCTGATTTTCTGCCAAGATAAAAATTAATTCAGTGCTATAGGAAATGTGCTGATTTCCTTCACCAAAAGATAGTGAAGCAAATTTGCCTTCCCTTTTTAAATTTTTTCTGTGTCCCTTCATTTAATATGATTTTGAAAGATTGGACACATTTTGTTGGGAAAATATTTCAGAGCTCTTGTTTTGAACTCTATAAACTTCTAACAGCATACTGTTGGGTTAGTTTCATGCCTCAGTCTACAAATAACTGTTAAGAAATGGTATATTCACATTAACATAGGATTACGCTTCCCAAAGATATTTGGAAACATTACAAATCTAATACTGTTCTTGTGTTCTCATTTTCAATGCCTAAATCTCTTCAGGAACCCTGCTCTGTCAGGGTTCTCCCTTACTTCTACATTTTTATAACATCATTTGATTTTTTAGTCTCTCTATTGTAGTGACTATCCTTTGTAATCTCTCAGACTTAAAAATCATCCTATAATACTGCTTTACACTTAACCTCCAAGCCATCTCACCCTTTCTTGTCACTGAGGTGCAAAGGAGAACTGATATATAACTATTTTTGTACTTCAGTCTATAATCACTTTTTAACAATGCATAATCTGTTTTCCATGTCTTCATATTACTGAAATCACTTTCTCAAAAATCACAAAATTGCTTTTAACTACCAAGTCCAATGGCTTCTTTGTTTTTCTCCAAGTTATTCTCTCTCCTCAGAAGTCTTTCAGGGTGTATGCTATATATTATCAGATTAGTAGGTGGCTCACTGTTAAAGAATCTGCCTACAATGCAGAAGATGTGGATTCAGTCCCTAGGTTGGGAAGATCCCCTGGAGAAGGAAATGGAGATCCACTTCAGTATTTTTGTCTGGGAAATCTCATGGACAAAAATGAATGCGCTGGTTTACTTCAACAAAAGATAGTGAAGCAGATTTGCCTTCCTGTGTTTTATTTATTTGAGAACCTATAGTCCATAGGTTACAAAACAGTTGAACATGACTAAAAAATAAGATTAAATATTGTATCTTATAGTAGGCCACATCTTATTGGATTTCCATCTAACTGGAGTTGTACAGATAAATTTTAAAGCAGTTTATTCCTGTACTCCAAGCACTTGGAGACCAGCTACCCAGCTACATGCAAGAAGACTGTGTCTTTACTGTGAACACACATTTTCCCACACAACTGCTATGACTCAGTCTGAGATATTATTCCCAGTTCTCTTAACGTTTTAAAGAACAGATGAAATGTCATTTCTTCCTTGACTTTCCAAATAGTCCTCTCAAAAGGAAACAGCAACACCTTGGAGAGAGTATTTACAGATCCTAACATAACTGTGAGTCTCAAATACTTCAAAATTTCCCCTGTTAGTCATGAAAATTCTTTGCTGAACTATGTAGAGTAATTATACGGAAACAAACAAAATGGAAGCTATTTTTTATATTTATAAAGTTAATTGGTTTACTTTCCAGATTAAGAAATTAATGTGAATTTTGAGAGAATTTTTTATTCAACTGTCACCACATGAGAGTTAGAAATTAAATTTAGTGCATGGGGGTGTTAAAAGTTAATTTACTTGTAGCACTTTAGATGAAATACATATTGAAGGAGTCCTCAGGCCTAGAAAAGAAGAGAATGACCTCAAGGGCCCTTGCTGAACCACCCGACTTCGGGGATGACAAAACTAAACTTTAAATCCCACCCTGATACTCCGGGCAGATTGCATCAGCCTGAGACCCCCCCCCCCCCCTGCCCGGGACCCCACCCGCTCCTGTTTATCCGCAAACTGTCATCTCAGCTGAAGATTACCCAGAACACCCCGCCTGACGAAATCTTCCGAAGGACTTCTGCAAAACCGCCCCTTAAATAGGAAGCCTCCCTAATCCCGTAAGCGCTCACCCTGGTCGTTAGACCGACTATCACCCCTCCTTGCCTGGATAAAGGTAACCTGTCTCCCTTGAGGTCGTCTTCCTTTCTTCATTGCTTTGTCTGAAACATTAGAATACTCTTGGAAATTCTTTAAACTCCATAACCCATGTTCTGAAGCCTAAACTCTACGTGCTATAGAAAAACAAAAAGCATGTTGTTTTGTAATCAATGAATAAGTCAAATTTTGTGTGCTTAAGTATAAATATTGTGGTGACAGGCAAATAATTTCAAAAGTTTAACTCCAGAATAATTTATTATACTGGAATTTGTTGAATCAGGTATTGCCTTCATCAGGGCAAGTATTATTTGCCAAAGCATTTCACTATAATCCTTTTTATTATAATCAATATGAACCTTTCTTATTTAGAAAAGATCTAAAAATAGTCTGTTTATGTTATAGTGAATGTTTTTCCCATTTCATAACACTTATTTTAAAGATAATTTTGCTCTTCAAAGATCATCCATTGAGTTCATTATGCTGAAAACAAGACAAACAAAAGTTCAGAAATAAAGGTAGCTGTATCTCTTAACAGAGTGTCTTATACATTACTTGGAATAATAATTGATTTAATTTCCTTCTTTGAGCTTTGAATATTCAGTTGTAAATTTAGCAGCTAAGGGACATTTTTTTCACAAGGGAATTGGACATATAACCTACACATCTGACATGAATCTGAGGAACTAGCTGTTCTGTATTTGTATTTAGTCCTGCAGAAACAGGAGGACTTGGCCAAATAGTGATTCCGTTCAGGGAAGTAAATTACCCTGAGCACAAGGAAGTTTATTTAACTTTAGGCTCCAGGGCATCTAACAGTGAGCAAACTAGACGTTCTCTTAATGATAAATCATTAAAAATAATTTTAACAAATATTTTGGAAAAATATAAAGTTCTTGAATTAATCACAAATAAACAATTAAAAGTAGTGAGGTTTTTTAACTCATGCTTTTGCCATGATTTCAGTCTAACACTGATTCCTTAATGATGTTTTATAGGACAGCTTTTGAATTTTAGTTGTAGATCTAGAAAATATTTAAAAAGAAAATCAAGCCAATACCATGATTCATTTTTTCCTATGATATGAAACTAATGCTGTCAATTTTACTTTTAGATTTTGTGCTTAAATAATTTGCATAGAAGTACCTTTGGGGACTTTAGCATTTTATTTACAAATATGCAAATCACCTTGGGACATATTCTAAATTATAAAAATCATGGAGTAGAGGCTCTTGACTTAGAATATATTGATTATTCAATTCTTGTTAATTATTGCTTTAATTTAAATAGCTATTTTTACAGAGATAAAGTTACCATGAATATATTGGGTTGATCAAAAAAGATCATTTGGGTTTTTTCATAATGTCATTTAGAAAAACTTGAATAAACTTCCTCGCTAACCCAACAGCTTCTTATTTTAACTTGCATCAGAATTTCTTTGTGATTTAAAACAAATTTTTTAGTAAAAAATTCAAAATGGCAAGTAATGCTCTGGAGTCTAGAACAAAGGGATTAAAGTCTTACATCTGCTTTTATTCTATCTGTAAATATTTTTTCTTTCTGAAGAGAGTAATAAAATTAATAAAGTCAAAAATTAATAAAATCAAATGAGCTGCATATTTGGATATTCAAATGAGTTGCCCATAACTCATGATCTACTGCTCTGACAGTGGAGCATATTGCTAACAATTTTAATGCATCTACTATGTTAAATTGATGCTCTTTGCAGGTGAGGAAGATCCTCTGTGGGAGGGCATGGTGACCCACTCTAGTATTCTTGTCTGGAGAATCCCATGACAGAGAAGCCTGGCAAGCTATGGTTCATAGCGTTGCAAAGAGTCTGACAAAACTGAAGCAATCTAGCGCACACACATCAGATAAAAGAGATATAGGGTCTGAAATAGTTCACAAAAATATTAACGTCTTTAGGGCTTATCAGGCCAAATTTGTTGTTTGCTTGTTAATCTAAATTTTAATCTCAAACAGGAAATTTAAAAGCATGTAGCAGAGTAAATTTGTTAATTTCTCAATGGAATGTTAATCTAAAAACAAGTAATCTGGGGAAAGTTCAGATGGGCAGAAAAGAATGCTACAAACTGAAATAATCATAATAAATAGTAAATTTATTATTAATGCAAAGAACTCAGACCAATTATGGATATTTCATTTAAGTGAAAGAATGAACACTTCCCAGTTTATCTCACTGTATTAAAAACAAAAGCATCTAATGCATATGTTAACTTTATTTTGAACAAAACAAATTGTATTTATTAATGGATTTATCTAAATTTTAATATATAATTATCACTGTAGCTTTGATCACTACTTTTCTTTTCATTATCCTCTATTAACTTACAATTTCCAGAACCATCCTCTTTTCCTTCTTGTTCCTCTCTTTTCCTACAAATAATTTTAAGTACCAGTTATAGATACTATGCTGTGCTAAGCACTAAAGTTAAAATATGAATAAAATCTGATTTCAGTCCTGTAGATACTAATATAGTACGAGCTAAATATGTACAGTTAGTTTTAATTCATATGTTAAATATCTACAATGTATTAAAAAATCCCCAGTAACAGTTTGCTGGATGAATGTATGAAGTGAAAGTTGCTCAGTTGTGTCCGACTCTGTGTGACCCCATGGACTATACAGTCCACGGAATTCTCCAGACCAGAATACTCGAGCCTCTCCCTTCTCCAGGGGATCTTCCCAACCCAGGGATCCAACCCAAGTCTCCCACATTGCAGGTGGATTCTTAACCAGCTGAGCCACAAGGAAAGCCCAAGAATACTGGAGTGGGTAGCCTATCCCTTCTACAACTGAGGTCTCTTGAATTACAGACAGATTCTTTACCAACTGAGGTATGAGGGAAGGACCAGATGAAAGTATGAATGAATGTAAGAAAGTCC